ATCAGTGCATAGAAGTACTAGCTATCAGCATCATCACTACCACCACCACCATCATCATCATCATCACCACCCCTGTTCCAGGAAATCTTTTCAGATGGACGTGTCTTCCTATGGGCTTCACTTCCCTATCCATCCCCACATCCGTCCCAGGTCAAACATGTCTGGGGATCGGTCTCAGTGAAAGTAATCCTTGTCTCTCAGTCTCCATCTTGTTAAGAGCAAGCTGTCTTGTCTTCCCTCACACTGGGGGCTTCCATGGCAAGAGCTGTGCCTTCTTCTCACATTTCTGCTTCCAGCCCGTGTACCAATACCACAGGCTCACAATTGGAGCAAGGACTCAGACACCTAACAGCAATTCCTCCCTGATTTGTAGTCACCCTTAGCCTGGGCCCTGTGCCTCTGGGGGTCCCAGGCAGTGCTCCCCCATCTCCCAATATACGATGTGGGCGGGAAGCCATCTCAACATCCAACTGTCCTTAAGGACCTGCTCTCTGTGGGTGAACCTGTGTCTGTCCATCAATATTTGGTGGTTAAAGATATGACACCTTCAAGCTGAAGGTTCCGGAAACCCCTTTGATGGCTCTTAAGGGCATTTGGTTAACTAGAGCGAATCATTCGTTGGATTCAGAGATTGTCGGTCATCTCTGCTCTGCTAATGAGCGGACCAGAAATGGAAACATACTTGGTAGCCCGATATGGGAGGTGAGAAGATACAGAGAAGTGAGCACTCCTTGAGGCCACATAGCCAAGACAGAGGATGTGACCAGAATTAGAACCCTACTGACAAGCTGAGCATCACCTAAGCCTCCTTCAGGCAGATGGCAAAGACCTTGAGAGGAAACGATCAGAGCGGGGTAGGACTTCAGGGCTGATCTGTCCCTGTGAGGTTGGCCTCAGTCCCTACAGGAAGGTGGGCTCACCTCTGAAGCAATAGACGTTGAAGCGGCTGTGCTTGTTAGGGAAGCCAGTCTGGTTGGGGAAGAGGAAGAGAGTCTTGACACCGGGCAGACCCCCACCACAGCGCTGGCTGGGTGTGATGATGGGGTAGCGCACGCTGCCATCGGCCAGCCAGCCTGGGCTGCAGCGGTCCAAGCCACCATCCCAGGCTGCAT